TAGCAGGACTCTCTCGGGAAACCCTAATGACAAGGGAAAGCAGTATGGCCAACCCCAAGCATGGACGCACCTCAAGGCCCCAAAAAATCATGATCGGCTTAAAAATCAAGGGACTTGAAAATAATAATACTATATGCTGGGTCCTTTTTTTTTCTTGCTGAGCCTGTTGGGTACAGTCAGGTCGTGTTTTTCAGGGTTTTCCCCCAAAACCATGAGGCTAGAAAGTCACTTGCTCAACACACACCCCTCCAAAAAAAGAAAGTTGAGATTCTCACATCATCAGGTGACTTCAGCAGGTGGGGCTTTAAGAAAACACCAAATATTGTGACAGTCAGGTTTAAATTGCAAAGATGACAACAAAACAGATTATGCTTAGGTGAGCCAAGTAAACTGGTTGTTGTGTTTTTGTTTCTGGCTCAATAAAGCACGAATCAAAGGGCGGGGGAGGGATTAAATTGAATCACCTGTGGTGGGTGTGTGAGTTCCTCAGGGGGCAAAGAAGAAGGGGAACTGAGGCACAGCAGTGCCCCCAGACTGGGGTGGGAGTGGTGCCCAATCACTCCTGCCACTCCCCCCCACCACACACACATATACACACACACACGCTCTTTTCCAAGGTGGATCTGAGAGGCTCACTCAGCAACTGCCTCATCATCTGTGAACCACCCAGGCTGGTCTGCCCTGAGAGACTGTTAGTAGTAGAATGTTGGGAGCCAGAGGGAAGGTGTCAACGCTGGCTGTGGGGCCGGGAATGTGCTTTCCTTGGAAAAGTCAAAGACAAAAAGACCTGCAGCTCCACCACCTGCTGGCTCACCGGGTTAGGTTTGCCTGATCTGCTGTAGTAATATACAGGCTGAAAGGCACTGAGCAAAAGCCAAAGCAAAAAACCCAACCGTCTCCTAAGGGGAATGAGTGGTTAGCTAGGTTAATAGGTACCCAGCATTTGCAGTGTTAGTATCTGTACTGGTATTACAGTAGCAGCCAAGTGGACTAGGCATTGCACAGACACCTAGAAAGGCACAATCCTTGCTCTGAGGAGCTCAGTCTTAAAAAAATAAAAAAATCAATCAGACTGTCCAGGTCTGTCTGCCTATAGACTCTGCTTTCAGATCAGCTCTAGACACTGATGCCTCCTAATGTTCAGAAAGCAGAAGGCACATCCTGAGACATGCCTGTGAAGTGAATTACGGGGGTGGGGGGGAATGTGGCAAGATTTTCCCTGATGCACAATGGGCTTCAAAATCCATGTTGAGGAAAAACGGTGACGGGGATATAATTAGTGGAGCTGAGGCACTTGTGTGATGAATGCCACACTTGGTATGAGGGAGGTGTATGGGCAGCATAGCTCTGGGTGATGAGCACTGGAGTAGCAAGCGTAGCTGTGGGTGGAGACTGAGATGTCCTGGCAGAGTTTGTGGGATCCCAATCCCTGGAACCGCTGGCAGTCTGCTCACAAGCAAACAACATGTTCACTGTGGGCATCTGAGGGTTTTAAAAAGTTTGCATTGTGTTAGCCTCATGCCTAACAAGGACATCTCTGGGTTAGTTCTATTTTTAAAAAGTAACAGATGGCATCTGAAGAAGTGAGGTTCTTACCCACGAAAGCTTATGCTCCCAGTACTTCTGTTAGTCTCAAAGGTGCCACAGGACCCTCTGTTGCTTTTTACAGATTCAGACTAACACGGCTACCCCTCTGATACTCTTCTATTTTTAAGGCATCCAAGAAAGAGAAGAACAAAAAATAAAATACTTAACACGATTTCTAGCTCTGATTTATTGGTACTTAGCCCGTAACAATTGGTCATGGGCATTGTATATTTCACAAGAAAGGGTTAATGTATTTAACATTGATGCAGAAAATACTGCATTCATTTCATTGGTATGTTTAGTAGTAATATTATCTCCCTTACTTCGGGGGGGGGGGTCCTTTACCCAAACTCCCCAAAGGATTTATATTGCTTCCTCTTTGCAAGCAAGAATGAAGAACTTCCCAGAGAAATCAGAGCTGACATCGATATTATCATCCCTGACGAGAACCTCAAACTCCTGAATGATGAAGCCATTTTCACTGAGGGCTTCTCTCAGAAATTCCTCTCTCAGGACCAAACACG